TGGACATTACATGAATGGGCTCAGCTCCTAAAAACACACCAAATGTTTAACTCTTGATTGGACGAATTTTTTGTTATCATCATAATGAATGCGGTCATCCCGCGGTGGGAGGGCGTGGCCAAACATGCCACCCCTCCCATCAAAAACAGAGTGGCCCGTAAGGAGTTCCAGAATGCCTCATTTGCCAAAACTAAGCAGAATCGAAGATAATTGGTAAATAAAAATGTACATAAAATCTTAATATACACTCCATAGCAATAACGGTCGAGAGAGACTTGTTAAACGAAAGTTTAATTTCGGAATTTTGGAATTTTGTCAATTAATTCATTTTTGAATGTGTTACAAAAGTACCGCAATGAAATTACACTTATGAACGCTGCGCTTTTCCACTGTTTTTAAAAACAAAGTTTCTCTTTCATAAAATAATGACTAGTTCGTACAAGGGTGCATAGTTTGCGGGGACCATGCAGTCCCGCTAGCTACTTTGAACGTGAGAAAGGACAACTTTACGGCATGAAAGTCAACGCATCTCACCATTGCGAAGCTAGCTTATTCAGCTCTCCAAACAAGACTCAAACTACTTAAAAAAAAACATCCTTGGCCAAGAACAGAGTTAAGATGTTAATTGACTTTTTTGACATCGTTGACATCTTCGGCCCAGGAACAGAGCTAAGATGTTAATTGACTTTTTCATTAAGGCAAGCTTCACAAATGAACTGCACATCCTTTGTATCATTTGCCACTATCTGTCTGTTAGGTCAGTTGTCCAGTTGTAAGATTGGCTATTCAATCGCGCAGTATTAAAAGTTGCGTTATTACGTGTTTGTCCTGTTATTTTTCTTTTATTGCTTCTTATAAATGTGTCTTTCTTTTGCGAAGGGCTTCTCTGAAGATTTCAGACTTACAGTCAACGAACTCCTTGACAATATTCCTCACATTCCTTATTAATTACAACTTTACTTGAGCAGATACATCAGCTCTTCTCAAAAAATGATGAACTTGTGAACTCAGTTAAGTTTGTTACATTTTCCCTTTAAACACGAGGTTTCAGTAGTTTAAGGAATGAGTAAAATCATTAAGCTTGCAAATAGAAACATTTATCAGATATCAATTTTTTTAGCTGAACTTAGATTTTCTCACATTTGAATAAATACTTGCGAAAATACCATCCCCGTCACGAGGTTGGTTTCTCATTAACTCCTTGTGATATTTTACTGTTCTTCATCGACTTGTCTCCCTCCCCCCACCTCCTCCCCCCCCCCCTTCCTTCTAACGCTATTTAAGACGCGAAAATACCATCCCCGTCGCGAGGTTGGTTTCTCATTGGCTCTTGTTGATATTTTCTTGTTCTTCATTGGCTGTTGTGATTACTTTGGTTTCGGTGTCACAATATTTAATTGTAAAGTGTCTGATGAACATGTATACTTCTGCATGGGTAAACGGAAAATCGTAGCGGGGAGGGGTCAGAGCGGAGGGAGAGTTGACAGTTAAGGTGATAGCATTATTAATTTATTTCAGACAAAATTCAGATATCCATTTCGACTGCAAACATTTTTATTGTCACTTTGAATAACATTGGAAGATTCCCTTTAACCAATGTCTGCATCGCTGAGTTCAAACTAACGACCTGCAAAAAAATATAGAAACAAAAATTGGCGAAGTACGATACGATTTTAAGGATAAAGGAGAGTGCTTAAACTACTATTGAAAAATGACTGATAAATTGTAATCGTTTATCAAAGGAACAATTGCTTAAGGTATGTTAGATACAGATATTCTAAACAGCATGAAAGTACTGTTACTATTTCAAGCTCTGAACTGTAATTCGCAGTATTTTTACCTAGTGAACGTATTGTACTTTTATTCCTAAATTCGTGCACACATTTAAAAAAGGCGCAGTGCTTTATAACCAAAGAGACAAAGATTAAATGAAATACGATTTATGTAAATCATCGAAAAAAAGATTTACCGTAAAGGGACCTAACCCCATCGATGTCATCTTTATGCAGTTTAGGAGTTCCCCGGCTGGCTGTTGGCCACATCACTGCACCCTTAACATCGGAGTGGTACAGTCCCAGAGCATGGCCAATCTCGTGCACGGCAACGTGAATAAGACTGTTAGATCCTGTCCAAAATGATCCAGTCTCGCTAAACTTATCATCATCGTCGAAATGTATACGGCCATTTTGGGGATAGAAAGCGTGAGCGAGAACTTTTCCTTTGCCATCGAAGGGTGTATAGCACTTTCCTTCACCAGGGACGCCTTGATGACTTCTTTTTCCAAAACTGCAAAATAACAGATTAGATTTATGGTCATAAAGGGGAGGGAAGATTCCCCGCTCTGTCCCCCCTCCTCCCCTCAAGGATGATATTTAAGTGACTGGTCTCTTAATTTATTGTTAAACTTTTTAAAGCTGAATTTCATATATGAAAGTTGCCCATCAGAAATTTGACTAAAAACATTCAAGCGACAAATCTATTTATTGTTAAAAAACTCATGAGAGAATTATGCTGGAAATATAAGATGCTCAGAACGCCTTGTGGTTCATGAATAGAAAATTCAACGGATCTGTGTCACTAAGTGCGTCCTGAACTACTTTCATTTAAAAAAGGAGACGAAACGTTAGTTTGTCAAGATGGAAAAACCGATAGTAGTAGCTGACAACAAACCCGGAGAGAATAAAGCTGCTGAAAGATGTGAAGATTTCATCGGATTGTAATTAACGAAAACGAAAATTAGCAAGAAGAAAAATTGGAACCTGAGTCTGAAGTCCGCTTCGCTAGTTCTAAATGTCCTGGTAAACCTCAGAGGCGTGACGTCACTCCACATTTTGAATGCCTTAGCTATTACTCGTGCTTGGTCAGAAGCTGACATGTCCTCTCCAGTCGACAGGTAGTATTTGAGATTATTTTTTCGCCATCTGTCCCATGAGGTAGAGTACCTTTTTTGTCGGTGAGGTTGGCCGTTTGCGTTCAAATCTGTGTTTCCACATCGCGGTTTCTTCATCTCGTACATTGTCTCCTCGTCTAACTTGCCAGTAACGGGTAAACCAAAAAATTTTTGGAAGTTTTTCACAGCAGTAGTTTGATCGTGGTTGCCTGATCTGGTTTTCGAGAGATAGTTGTAGCTTGAGAGATATTTCTAGGATAAGAAAATGCACAAACATGATTGTAATGATGGTGGTTTATGAGAAGGGGTCTAAAAACTGTCATGAAATCCTTACTATTCTGAACTTTATTATTCATGAAGCATAAGATACTGGTTGATCTTTAATTCAATCAATCGTACACAGCCTTTTCCATTACATGATTTGCTGGAAAATTTCAAATATTTGGTTAAGGAATTTTCGAAGAGAAAATTGTGTCCGTTTAGGTGTAGGGAAGAGCTATTAGAGAAGGGTACTTATTGGCTTTGTCCTTTTTGCTATTTGTAGATCTTTTTTCTTTTTTGCTATCTGAAAAAAAATTGTATCGAATCTTACCAAAGCAAATTCCTCATCGCTTTCCTCTTCTTCAAACGCGCAAAATGCGCTGTGAAGAAGTAACAAAGATACAAATAAAGCCGGAGAAAACATGTCTGTTGACGCCCTTACAGGTACCAAGGGGATCGATTCTAAGATCGTTAACGAAGGAAATCGTACAGTTCTTTTATTCTGTGAAAAAATTCTGCAGCTGAACATTGTCAATAAACCTGGTTAAACAAACAAAAATTAGTCTTTTGCTTAATCGAGCTAAGTGTTTTTTGATTGCTTTCAACAAATTCGAAAGGATCAAGAGACTGGGAATGTCAATAGTCTCTCCTTGAGACTAAAATTCTCCGCTACGAAAATGAATTAAAAGTAAAAAAGATAAATCAGTAATAACCTCACTAAACGAATACGAAATTTCGTTACGCTTAAATAAGGCATCGATGACTTGTAATTTAAGGAAAACGTAAGGAACTACAAAAAACATAAGATTTGCGGAAACCGTAAACAACGATGAATTTCTCCAGCGGGTGAAATTTGATTGAACCTTTTATACATGCAACTAAACTCGAAATGATATGTCAGATGGGAGTAAAGACGGTTGAATCTAAGTTAACCGAGATACGAAGGGTACTAAAAAAGTCACATACAGAAAGAGACCGTGTCACTTGTTGGCGCCGGTTAAAAAGCATATTCTTAAAACGTGGTTGAGAGAGTTTCGTTTCTTTTTTCTAAAACTAAGAAAACAAACAAGTTACAACGATAAATTTCCTTCCCTCTGAAAATGAAAAATATTTATACTTAATCACGTTTGGTTGTACAGTTGAAAAGGTGTTAATTGAAAGTCTAGAAAATTAAAAAGCAGGCATAATCACAAAGCCTACCGGGATTGAATTAGCATTTTGGGATTTGTTGACTTTCGTTTAAATAGATATCAAAAGTGTGAAGGAAATGGTAAGATCATGAAAAGGCTTAAGAAAGGTTCACGGGATGGAAGGTAAGAAAGGGAAATTTAAGGCTGGGCGCTGAGTTGTGTATCGTCAGTTTTCTTTTGCAACACGCTTCCCCGGCTCTGTTCCTCTTTGTTCCCGAGTCCTTTCCTTCTCCATCTCTGCTCGTTATTATGTTTCCCAGTGTCCCTGTCTTCCGCCTTCCGTCTTCAATCTCCTGCCACTTTCCCGCTTCCCCATTATCTCTTTTCTCTTTTCTCTTTTTCCTGCGTTTCTCCGTTTCCACGAACACTTTTCTCAATTCAACCCTCATTCTCATTTTCCTGGAGCCCATTAGTTACCTTTTCCCGCTCCCCTGTTCTTGTAATTCCCTATTCAACCACAAAAAAGCGAGCGAAGCAATTGCTCCTTGTTCTTAAAATATGACTGTATTTATCCAATAGAATTTTCCTCGTTACGACAGCAAAAAGTAAATTCCACCTTTCGCGTCATGTCTATACTTACAGATCCAAATTAGTGGTTGCGCGAACCTAAGGACGGATCAGCCTTCGTGTACTTCCCACGGATCTTTGCGAGCATAGTTGGTTCTGCCATAGTGTTGCTTCTGCAAGGAATATGTTGTTGTACTTGGTGTTCATGCAGGTTGAATTCTCAGCAAATATCGACTGGCTTATTTAAGGTACTTCCACGTAGCCAGGAATGTATACATATCGCACGTAGATATAAAGGTAAATTGTTGTTCGCTTTAACTTCTTACACAAGAACACAACACTGAATGTTACCCACGTTTTCCTAACACTACTTGCTTCAGCTTTTCTCGAGCAGGTAAAACGCAATGTTTATTCGTACCCATGATATGGACATCAAACTGTGTGGAAAGATCTCCGTATAACCCCATACTATTCTAATACAAAGCATTCAGTTCCGAATGTAATCTATTGTTTTCGCCATTGTTGTCTTTTACCATGGTATGCAAAATGAAGTATGTTGTTATACGGAAATCTTGCCTCTTTATTGATCTGCTGGCATGGTTTTGTGCTTTTAACCCAGTATAGTCTTAAAGTATTTTTCTGGTAATTAAAAATGTGATGGGAACATGCAGACAGAAGTTTTGCCACCTGTTTGACTACATGTACTTACTGTCTGAGTGGGTGGCCAGACTGGATAATGTTTGGCATGACAGTGACTTAACAATTTCCTTCTTTGGCCCAACCAAACTCAGTTATTAAGCATGTTACATGACATCACATGACCACCAATAAGTGTTGAATTCCAAATGTTTCTTTTGTTTTATTATTAAGCTGAAATACACAACTTCAATTTACATTCTCAGAAAATTAAAAAGAACCTTGTTGGTCCTGGGCTGGTGGCTTTTTGCAAACCAGCTCAGGTTGACCAATTAATAGCCCAACACACTTCAGCTTTTACTATGCTTTCCTATAGGGTTTAAGTGCACAGGGCAACATTATTTGATTATTTTATGTGTTGATCGCAGGTCATACTCAATCTTGTCACAGGGTTTCAAAATCTCACCTTCTGACAAGAATTATTGTTATTAAACTTAAACCCACAGTCAAAAATGACATTTTTGAAGAGTTGGTCTGTTCAACTGTTACTGATAGATTCTATATGAAATTATGTTTAAAAATCTATATGAATTTAGCATCAGATTTTTTCACAAAGATCTCTTGACTGCCAGTAAATTCATGTTAAAAAGGCCCAGTTGAAGGCCCAACCATGCTCCATACTTATTAAGTTTAGGCTTGCTGAGAAGGACAACTTTGTTTAATCATTTTATTGGGGCAGAGAGAATTATCTTTAAAAAAACTGATGTGAAGATGTTTAGAAATAAATTTTTTCATAAATCAGTTGTGCATCACTATAAGATAACATTTGGAAGTTAATGAAGGGCACTCAAGAATTAAGCTATATTTACTCTTGGCTACACCACAATAAACATACATGCTTACAATCTTTCATGCTCTCCAAATTTCCCCCGAGCTTGATATTACCTAATGAATGTATACCGATGAATGAACCTGTTGTTAACTGTTACAAGATATCAATGATATGATAATCAAAGATTTTTTTAATTCCCTAGTAACATACTGGTGAGGAGACTGAATAAAATTCTGATATGTGTGACGATTGTTTGCAGTTTTTCAGATACACTTGAGAAGGTACATGGTCTAATAGGAAGAGGATTTCCAAGTGATTTTTGGCAGGAAATGGCAATTTTTCAGCCATTAAGATTTTTTCAGGTGAGGATTGACTGAATTTTTCCTGGCTCTAACCTAGAATTGGTCATAATTAACAATAATTGACCAAAGGTCTTTTTTCTTACTCCCAAAACATTATGTCATAAATTAGAACTTCACCAGGATTGATATCTGAGCATGCATAAACTTTTGAATCTTCTGTTTTTTTTCCAAATATTTTCCCATGTCTCATTTTCTTTCCTTTCAAGATTCAAAAAGTGACACAGCTATGATTGTTAAGTCATGTTAACTTTGTTTTAATGTAATATAAGGCTATACATAATGACTTGAGGGTTTTTATTTTAAAGCAGTGGCTTTTCCTACTGTACCTTTTAAGAAATGACTCAGCTTTAAACGTAGTCAGATAATAAGTAAATTTTATGACACTTTGTCTAATTTGTAGTATCATTGAGTATTTTAATTCATTGTACTGGACTTGCCCCACAAGCTTGTCAAATTAGGCTTAACTAATAGCATGTACACATCAATAACCATCAAATAATCAATTCTACATTTATTTGAATTCAATTTCAAGGTCAACATAAACATTCCCAAGAGACTTTGTTCCTTACAAAGGAGAACCTGCCAGCATTAAATTTCCAATTGGACTTGTTGAGTGTAGAATTGTCAGAAAAAACCATAACTGAAAATTTCCCTGGTCAAAACCAATGATGGTGAAATTTGAGTAAGTGGGCCTCTTGCATTGCAATGAAAGTCACCATCAGATTTGGGTCATTCTGCTGATAGCAAAGGTGTAATATAAATAAGAAAAACTTGTATTAGTGGTCACCTACTGGAAATGGCAAGTTGACCTCCTTATACAGGTTGACCACTAAATACAGAACATGGGTCAATACAGTAAAAAAATGTTCTTTTAAACCATAGTTGATCACTTAATATACATTTTTATTAAACAACCAATGAAACATCAACAAAATGGTAGACCTCTGGTTGGTTACAACCATCAAATGACTTGCATGATGTTTGTGCATAATATTTGTCCTACCAGCCATTAGAAAAAAGCTGATTTAAAATGAATTGTTGACATTTGCACTCAAAATACATGTACTAACACTGATTTCAGGATATAAACATGAAATTAATTTTACTTAAGAGACCTTATTTGTCAAGCTTGTCTATCAGTATAATATGTATAATGTAAACTTTGAAACACAATCAAAGCAGTCTAAATGTCTAGTAGGGCTATTCAAATGGAAGAATTTAATCTAACATTAATGAATAAATACACCTGATTTGATGGTTTAACATATAACACACACATATATTTTGGGATCATAATTATCGTATATATCATACGAATTGTGTTTGCAAGTTGTGCATTTGCGAACATTCCGATAAGCATATGCCAGATCCCAATCAAAATTTAGAAAAGTCCAATCCAAGAAAATATATAGCTTCGAGTCTGACTGCCCTTAACACAAATTTTTGCAGTTCTAAAATTCATCAGAAGCCTTTGAGAGCAATTGCTTGAGGAAGTGTTTGTAGGTTAGGTGCACTCACAAGCCAGTTTTGTCAATGAACTCCAAGCTTCTGTTGTTTACATTTAAGCTATTGTTATTGTCTGTTGTGTTTCATTGTTGTAAACACAAACAAACTGCTCCAAACCCAAGGGCAGATGACAAAGTTCAATTCTCACCATTCGCTGTTCACATACATGAGGAGGTTTTATTATAGAGGTACAATGCCTTTGAAATTCAGTGTTCCTTGCTTTGTGGTTAAGAAATAAAAAGCAAAATTTTCGGAATTGAAGTTATTGCTTGTTTTTTTGGATGATAAACAAAAGAAAATTGTCATAAATGTCATCAAAGGGCTTTCCAATTTCTATAGCAGTCTTACACTTCCGAGTGAAATCTGACAAGAACCTAAACAATAGCATGAATATATGAATACTTAACAACCCACAAAACATGGGTACACACCTAAATCAACGTGAAGTTGTAATGTTTACATGTTATTTTTCAAAGCACAAAAGGGGCTGTGAGAAAAATACCAGCAATGAACAAAATGTTTGCTCATATTATTTATTAATCCATAACAATCAGGGATTATTTCATTTTTTAATGTTAGGGTATCAGTTTGCAAAATATATCCAACTGCCCTAATTGTATCAATTGCAAAGGGACTTGGTGAAAGATGAAAACACAATAAATGAAACTATTACGTGTTCTTAGTGACCAACAAAAAAAAAGTCCTTCTTAAAAGATTGTTTCTTTAAAAGTCCAGCCAAAAAAAATCAGTTTCAGTTGTTCAGTGTGGCCATGTCATTACTCCTATTATTTTTGCCCTGGTTTAAAGCCTAATACCATGGCATATTGTGCATGTTCTCATGGCCTTATTTGGTAAAATGACTCAGTAATAGAATAATTACAAAAGATAATATGTCATGTTGTTTCATACTATTTTGTTAACACATTGTCTTTGATCTGTGTTTTACAGATCTTACATGAAAATGCTAATTACTGTTCCAAAAGGCTGGACATGTGTAAATGGGTAAGTTTGAAAGTTTGTAGTCCTCAATTCAATCCAATTCAAACTGTAATTTATTTATACTACATTTAGTAAACATGTATGAAACAAAAAGTTCACATTCAGAAACAAAAGTTCACATTTTTCAGGGCTGATCAAAAATTTCAAAGTTAATGGATGACAGTGGTAGTTTCAAATTTAAATACAGAGGGAGAATTTCATTCAAGAAATGCTCCTAATTCATGAACTAAAACCCAAACTTAACACACAGTCAGACTCAATACTTGTAAAAGTATTTATTTAATCATATACAGCATGCAATGACACTTTGAACACCAAAGATCAAGAAATGTGTGGTATTCTAATGAACTCTGTCACTCTTCATTTTTGTACTTTAATTTGCACCTACAGCTGTCATCCTTTTTCTTGATAATGGAGTCAAGATGACTTCAAAATTGTTAGTTTTAGACCACTAATAATTACACATGCTTAAGTGTATTTCAGAAAGGTATATTAGACCTTTATGAAAGCCACTTAAAAATCTTTTGAACTCCTTCTGATATACTTATTAAGTATATGAACTTTTCCCTTTGTTTTCCTTGTCCAATGTAAACAAAATTAACACCATCTGGACCAACAGCTTTGTACAACCTCCTTGAAGAGGTAAGATACTGCTTCACTTAATGTTGTTGGAACTCTCTCCTTTAAACAAACATTAACAACCTCATATGCATATACAAAATTAAGCAGCAGTAGCTTCATGATGTTTTGTCTGTTACTTTTTATCAGTAATTTCTTATTTCATCTCCATTTCCTGATTGCTGGACTGGCTTATATTTAACTGACTACTTGTTTGGTAGCCCAGTTGACTGGCAGAGTATCAGCCGGCTGGCTGGCTGCCTGATTGTCTGCCTGACCGACTGGGTAACTGGCACTCTGATTGGTAGTCTGGCTGACTGAGTGGCTGACTTACTGGCTGACTGGCTGACTGCATGACTGACTCACTCACTGAATAACCTAATAGCTAGCTAATTGATGAACTGGCCATCAGTCAGCCTGATTAGCTTGCTTGCTGACTGACTGGCTGACTTACTGCCTGACTGAGTGGCTCACATACCCCCTGAATGACTTATTAGCTCACTGATTGATGAACTGCCATCAGTCAGCCTGATTAGCTTGCTTGCAGACAGACTAGCTGACTTACTGCCTGACTTAGAGACTCATTAACTCACTGGATGGCTTATTAGCTAGCTGATTGATGAACTGGCCATCATTCAGCTTGATTAGCTTGCTTGCTGACTGACTGGCTGACTGGCCGACTTTCTTCCTTACTGGCTGACTGAGTGTCTGATTGACTCACTAATTCAGCATGTGGCTGAATGACTTTTTAGCTAGTTGGTTGATTAACTGACTATTAGTCAGCCTGATTAGCTTGCTTGCAGACTGACTGACTGACTGACTGACTGACTGACCTGCTGCCTCATAAGCTTGCTTGCTGACAGACTAGCTGACTTCCTCCCTGACTTAGTGACTCACTAACTCACTGAATGACTTATTAGCTAGCTGATTGATTAACTGGTCATCAGTCAGCCTGATTAGCTTGCTTGCAGACAGACTAGCTTACTTACTGCCTGACTTAGTGACTCACTCACTCACTGGATGGCTTATTAGCTAGCTGATTGATGAACTGGCCATCATTCAGCTTGATTAGCTTGCTTGCTGACTGACTGGCTGACTGGCCGACTTACTTCCTTACTGGCTGACTGAGTGTCTGATTGACTCACTAATTCAGCATGTGGCTGAGTGGTTGCTTGATTGGATGACTTGCTGAGTGACTGGCTGGCTGCCTGAGTGCCTAACTGGCTGACTGACTGGCTGGCTGCCCTACTGCATGACTAGCTGACCTGTTTGGCTGGCTAGTTGACTGACAAGGTGCCTGATCGCTAGAGTGGCTTGCTGTTCGGCTAACAGACTGTCTGACTGGCTGGCTAGCTGCCTAAGTGACTGAGTTACCAGCTACTTTACTTACTGACTGACTGACTGAATAGCTGACTGGTAATCAGTTGACTGGCTGGCTGCCTCACTGACTGACTCACCAGCTAGCAGACTGACTGGCCGGCTGACTAATTGACTTTCTAACTGTGTCTGCATGACTTGGTTACAGACTGATTGAGCAACCGATCAAAACGCTGGTCAACTGACTTGCCGATTGACTAGCGGACTGAGTGGCTTATCAGCTGGCTGATGGCCTGACTGACTGGCTGATTGTTTTCTCTGAGCTGCATGTAGTTTGCCTACTGACTGGCTGACTGCGTCAATGGTTTGCTGTGTGGCATCTGAAAGACGGACTGCTTGACTGGCTAATGCCTTGCTGGTTGCATGACTGGTTGACAGACGACCTAATTGGCAACCAGGCAGCCTCATCGGCTGACTGATGGATAAACTGAGTGCCTTACTGACTGACTGAACTGATTGACTGATTGAGTGCCTGCCTGATTAGCATCTTATCTAGATGCCTGGCTGACTGTTTGTCTGCTTGTCTGACTGTTAGATTGACTGCCTTGCTGACTGACCTCCCGATTGACCCTCTGCTTGACTGAATGCTATGCTTGCTGGCTAATTGCATACTGACTGGCTGCCTGATTGGCTGACTGACTGACTGACTGAATGAAAGTATGACTGACAAATGCTCGCCCGATTGAGATACTGAAGCCAGACTGGTTTCCTGACTGGCTGGTGTGCTGTTTGACAGGTTAACTGACCTGCTGACTAACTTCTCAACAATCTTTGGCTCAGTGATTGTTTTATTCTTCGATTTATTCCAGATTCAGAGAGAGAAAACGGAACGGATTCGAAAGGCAGAAGAAAATTTCCACTTTGGAAGCAAGATAAACGTACAGGGAAACTTGATTTATTGTAATTTGTGCTGTGAAAAAAATTTCATCTGCAGATATAATCATCCTTACCATCAGTATATTTTCAGCTAGAATCAGAGCATCAATTTCTTTTTCGTGCTTGTCCTCTTTCGTTTCAGATGTTCAAAACATCATCAGCGAAGTGAAATCACCAAAATTTGCGTGGTCTGAGAACGTAAACCTTGACGAAAAATTGCGGAACTCAACGCACCTCCCATACGTTGCGCTGAAGTTGAGGTGTGGCGCCGCAAGGGGTGATGAATACATTCAGCCATTAGCGAAATTCTAACTAAAAATATAAATACATTTTTAATCGACGCCGCCCTCGGCGTTGCCGTCCTGATTACTTAGTCCCTATGAGGGACCTTAAGCATTTCTTAACTTTGAGTTCCAAATGGAAACTAAAAATAATTTGTCTTCGTGGTCTCCGTTCGCAAACGACGCAAACTGTGGTGATTTCAAAGTGGTTTGCTTAAGGTCGCTACTGTTGAACCGCCCGAGCTGTAACATGACAAATTCTGTTCAGGTTTCCATTTGAATGCAGTAAATGAATTTAGAAATTTTTTATCCTTTCTCTCTCTTGCTTACTTTTTTTCTTCCAGGTAACGTCAAGATTACCGCGTAAGGTTACAAGTGAAAAACGCAAGGCCAAGAGTGAACTGAGAATATTTTGGCAAGTGTAACTGATGTGTTATTGTCAAACCTCATGAACCTGTGTAATTCTGTAGAAGTTTACCCGTTGGATATTTGAATCTTCAGATATTTTTAGTGTCGATTAGCGCTGATGCATCGGGTAACTCGTGTTTCACGGGTGATTAATTATATTTCCCATTTTTAGTTCACTTCAGAATGCTAGAGATAGTAACAAAGAGACAAAAAGGCTTAAGAAGTTATCAGCGTGGAACTGGATAAATTTGAAGAATATTTTATTTCTTCACTCTCGTGCAAGACTTGACGTCTTATTTAATATACCTTATGATACTGTCACCAAGCCTCTGAAACTTGCACTGACTTTGATACTTTATTTATTTAGTAGTATCTTAATATTTGAAAATAAAGGAAAATATTACAGCTGTTTGCTTCATGTTTTCAATTTCAAAACCAGGGGAGAGACGAAAGAGCAATTTCAACCCCCAAAAAAGTGGTCAGAAAATCGGGGGTCGATCCGCCACCGTCCCCCACCACACCCACCTCTTATAGACAGTTTTTAAATCTGTATAAAAGTTGTCTACTTTGTGGTAGTAACATTAATTTTCAACGTCTGTCTTAAAACACATGCGTATTACAGGATGATGATGATACCACAAGGTAGATAAATTTTAAACAAACTTAAAAAACTGTCTAAGAGAGGCGGGCATGGTGGGGGACGGTGGGGGACGGTGGCGGATCGACCCCCGATTTTTTGACCACTTTTTTGAGTGGTTGAAATTGTTCTCTCGACCCCCGATTTTTTGACCACTTTTTTGAGGGTTGAAATTGTTCTCTCGTCTCTTGCTTGCTTAGCCTCTACTTTCAGCCTTCTTTCCGAGGTTGATTATTTGTCCATGGTCTCTTGTTTGAGGTCATCACACAAAATGAAATAAATGCGCAGGCGTCTTAAACTGTTTACCACAACTGCAGAGTGACTGTCACATAACACATCCCTGCCAAAAACCATAACTCTTTGAATTGGACATTATCAATACATCTGCATGAAAGAAAATAACAGAGCTTTAACTGGGGCGAATAAATGTTTCGAGCCAGAATACTTACAAAAAACCTTAGTTCAGGCTGGGACATTGAGAAAAAGCTTTAATCCTTTAACTCCCAAGATCTGATTGATAATAAATTCTC